ATTTATCAATAGTTCTTCTGATTTGTGACCACTTGTTACTCTAAACTTTGAGCCTCGATATTTCGACAATGGTAGCACCTAAAGTCACCATTCTTTGGTTAAAGTTTAGATTTTGTTATGGCCATGATGTATTGAAATATATAATCATCCAAGGTTCTGTGCATAAAAAGTTATAGCATTTCATTAATTATTTTGCCAGATGTTATAATTGATATATAAAGTTAAATGATTGCTCAACACACAAATCTTTTTGTTAGCAGAGTTTCATTATTGACTGAATAAGCTCAGATTTTCTCAGGTATTCAGTCATATTTTATTATGGCCCATAACAAAATCTAATGTTTGGTCGAAGAATGGTGATTATAGGTGATACCGTTCTCGAAATATTGAGGCTCAAAGTTTTTAGGTAAATAGTCATGATCTAGAGAACTATTGATAAATGGACTAAAGTATTCGATCCTTGATGTAAACCCACAAATTTTATGGACGATTTATAAGTTTCAGATGTCTAACTTTTACGGTCACAGAAAAAAGTCGGTTTAACTAAAAATCGAACTTGATCTTTTTTACAAAAACAGAAAATTTTATTTCTCTAAATAAGTTCATTTTCTGGTTGATCATCAAAAGATACATCAGCAGAATAAGTTTCATGCCAAAATCTTCTTCCATTATTGTACAAAAGGCGATCGAAGTTTTAACTTTGACCTCGATTATCTCGAAAACAATAGATCGGAGGAATTATTTAATGGCACCAATCGACTCAGTTTTTATGTCTCTACAAATCCACAAAGTCTCAGCTCTCAATTCAAATGTTCAATGCTTTTGCAGTACTTTTTTACATTGCATTTTCTGGTTTAACCAGAAAAATGGTTTATTTACCAAGATTTGTGTGAGAATGAGTTTAGTTTGTTGAGTAAGTTATTGCTCGTGCATTTACAGCCCAAATATCATAACCAAAATGCGATAATGGGAATTTATAAAATTGTATTGAATTATAAATTAGTAAAGGATATAATTGGTGAAAGAATTTTGACTTTAGGTGCTACCATTGTCGAAAGATCGAGGCTCAAAGTTTTAAGACCAATGGCCAAAATCAGAAGAACTATTGACAAATTGAAAAAAGTATTCGATCCATTATATGTACCAACAAATGTTATCAACAAATAATAAGTTTCAGATCTCTAAATTTAATGGTCACAAAAAGAGGTCGGTTTAACTGAAAATCGAACTTGCTCTATTATACGAAACCAGAAAATGCTATCTCTTTAAATAAGTTCATTTTCTGGTTGATCATCAAAATTTACATCATCAAAATAAGTTTCATGAAAAAATCTTCTTCCATAATTGTACAAAAGGCGATCGAAGTTTCAACTTTGAACTCGATTTTCTCGAAAACTGTTGGTCAGAGAAACTTTTAAATTGCACAAATTTTATCAGTTTTATGTCCCTTTAAACGCACAGAGTCATAATTTGAAAGAAATCAATTTTAACCCGTTTCTGGGGACTCGTTTCAATTTGTTTATTACAAATGTTACAATTGTGTTTATTGTGTCTTTGGAGTAACAAACTGATTGATTTTATATTGTAAATGTTTATAAAGTAGACTATTTTTGTAACAGTCATATTATGTTATAGCCCAAAGTAAAATCTAATGATTGGTCAAAGAATGGTCATTGTAGGTCTATCATTCTTGAAATATCGAGACCCGAAGTTTTAGCTCTATTCTCAAACCAAGAAACGCATTTATAAATCGGAAAAAAGTGATCGATCGCAATTTCAAATTTGGTCACAATTCTTCAAAAGCTGACGACCAGACAAATTTCTTAACAGCTCTAGTTGACTAAGTTTTATGCCCCCACAAACCCACAAAGTACCAGCTCTCAACTCTAAAGTCAAAGCTCATTTCTCAGTCCTTTCTCATTAAACTACAACCAAGACTGAAAGGACATAGAGTTAAATGATCAACAGACAATCTGGAATGAATAATTTCACTGAACAAATCAATCTCAGAAAATTTAAATACTGATATATTTTTGAACCAGAAAATTGTGAGGCTCAAAGGAAACCTTAAAATCATAGATGGCGACTGTGAAAATTGCTTTAAATGGGACACAAAAAAATTGCTTTAACCGGGTACTCTAGTGTACTTGGATAAAGCAGAAACATTAAACAACAACTAACTTTTCATTTCCATGCAATCAACACCTTTTTCTGGATAACAATCAATGTACAGTTTAGTAATCAATTGGAGTGACGATCATTAAAATATTCATTATGATTGAAGTAACTTCCTTATTATATTACTGGAAGCATTTATGTTTCCCTTGATTTAAAAACCGTTGACATTTCAAGTCTTATTGAACCATATTCGTGGCTATCCGACTATTGAGACAAATGTATTTGGTCAATCATGATGATCTGAATTGATAATTTGAAGTAGTTGAAGGAAAATGAAACTCCAGCAACTAAAGAGTCCAATAATGATTGAAAGCAATCAACCAATTATCCTATCCTGAAGCATGTATTATTTACAATTCATGTAACTTACCTTAAAGAATCATGAATATCTCCATTAAAGATATTTATATTAACTAATAATGTATTCATGATGGAATGCGACTATGATCAAATAATTGATTTACCATTGAATTACTATCAAATAATGGAGTGACATTTCAAGCTAATAATCAATTTTTGACCATTTTTGATAATACAACTTAACCAAAATCAAATCTATAATCAACATTAAACGCTTTTGTATTTGGAATATCTTGAGATGACTGAGATTAATGTAATTAAGGTTTGTAAGTACACATTATCCTTAAGATAATTGTGAACTTGATGGTGATATTTTGAACAATTAAGCTGATTAATCATCGTGAGGGATTGTGAAAAGTTGAAATTGCCGACTGTTTAATGGCGTCGCTCTTTCAGTCTTCAGTCTTCAGCCATAAGTTGAGTTGGTGTTGCTTTGAGTCAACAAATTAGTTAATTGAGATTACAACTGTAAACTGATTAAACCTTGAGACATCTGATGATTCAGTTTCTCTTCTTGGCTTAATAAGTCATCAAGTTACCAAAGTTCAGAGATGTTGGTATAAAGCAGCAATCATAACTCAGCCAGACTCTCAAGTTAAACCAAATAATACATTTACACTCCTGAGTCTTGTCCATAATGAGATTTACTTATACGTCTATTAAACTGTGAATATTGACCGTTTAATCAAGTATTGACCATTTTAAGGGTAATTAATCAAAAGTTGCGGCTGAGTTACAGCTTAATCCTTTCATCAGATGTAGCCAGAGTTTGAACCAATATTGTAACCAGTTTTTGTTGATCTCACCTTAAGTGTTTTACTTGATAACAAGGGAAGTTTCCTGCTTTCCGAACATTAGTTCCAATTTGGAAAGGAAAATATTTGTATAGTAATAAAAATTGACCATAACATACATTAAAATACGGCTTTGAAAATATTGTTATTACCAGATTCTGGTTAGGACAAAATGACTCTATGGTAGTTACTATTGATAACAAGTCAACTCCTTTTGATGATCAGCTTTTTTTTCTTGACTCCAATTTTCTCCTCTCTATTTTTATTCCCAATTTGTAAACTTAAATCAACAAATAGATGTTATAAAAGCAATTGACTGATGATAATGTTGGCAAATTACATTTTAATAATAATGAGCAAAATTGCAAATGAAAACATCTAAGGTAAATAACCTCTTATTTTACACACTCTCTGTCTCTCTTCTGCCTCCTATCTCTCCCTCTTTTGGCTTTCCTTTTAACCAACAGCAGGCAAGCAGGCAAGCAAGCCTCTTCACCATTTCAATCATATTCATCAACATTCATCAGGATTTTCCATTTGTGGTCATCTTAATTTATTTATTTTTGTTCATTGAATATTATTTAATGTCCACCATTAATCTAACTGCCATGATGCTACAAACTAGGTAAGTAAACTGTTTTAAAGAGGGAGGAATTAGTGTTAACCAAGGGTGGGGTAAATGTTAATTTGTAATTCTCTTTCTCTCTCTCTCTTTTTATCATCATCATCAGCTATTGTTATGGATTTTGTGTGTGTGTGTGTCTTATGAAGTTTCTGCTTGACTTTTGATACAATCAATATCATCGATGAGATTCAATTTAATTAGTTTATCATTATCAGATGGTTTCACTTTCTGATCATTTTTGGGTTCACTGTTTTGGTTTTGAGAGCAAGCTTATTCTCTCTATTGCATGTTATAATTGTAATGGTTCTTCCTGTCCCTCACTTTTCTGCTTACAATTGCTATTGTTATGCTTAACCAACTTGTTGTGGACAATTAATCTCATTGTCAGCAGTAATTCTGGTATTATAGTTACGCTTTTTTTCTCCAATTAAATGGTAAAATGGTCAAGATATGTAAATATTAGCTAAAATGAGTAGTTTTGATCTATTACTTTTCCATTTTTGCCATTCATCTTCTGACATTCTTAAACATTAATTTATCAATTAATGGTTAGTTAAATTTGAAGATAATTAGTGTTGTTCATGCTCTTTCTTTCTGCTTGTGATTTACTGTCTAAAATTGCGTTTAAAAATTTGCGTGTTTTTGAGCTATGAAATTTTCTCCCTTCAGCCAAGCAACCCCACTCTTCTCTTACATTTTATATCTATTTCTCTCTTTCTCTCTCTCCTCCTCCTCTCCTTTTTCCTCTCTCCTTCTCTCTCTTTTCTGTCTCTCTTCAATGCTATTGATTCCTTGACAAACAATTTATTAAATGATGGCAGTTTTTGTTTGTTGCACCTTTAAAACTTGATGATATTTAACCTCTACTCTTCTTATTTCAATTCTTTTCATTTTTCTCTCCTTTTTAGGGTTGGAATTACAAGTTGAAATTAAATTGAGGTTAAAACCTGATGATCTGATCTTTTTTACACGATGGAATCGGAATCGTGTATCATAACTACCAAAAACAGATTTATTAATCAATCGTCAAGCCTACACTTTGAACAGAAGATTTCTTTAAATGGTCATTGTGATGGCTTACCACCAAGGAGTAACAATAACAGTCAAGTTAGCCAGAATGGTGCAAATGAGTATGTATATCATTCAACTATCATTCCTCTAGCCCAGTAAAACGTGAAAAAACCTTCCCTTTATGCTTACTCTTACTCTTTCTCTCTTTTCTTCATCCTTATTCTTATTGTTTCCCCTATCTCTTGCTCTCATATTCATCCTTTGGGTTCATTATCTTGCTCACCTCATTTGACTAAAAACCGTTTAATGCTTACGCTAGAATCTTCCATCATTACTTTCCATACCTCATAAGTGTTGTGCAAAAGTTTCATACTTGCCATCGCATTGTCAAATATTCCTTCCCATTTTTTCCTGTTTATTTTTCACTGCCATGTTATCATCAAATCTGATATCAACAACTTATCCTCTTCATCATCTCCATCTTCCTTAACTGTTTTGTGTTTCTTGCTCTTTTCTTAACTCTCTTTCTCACTCTTTTTTCTCGTTTTACTTCTCTCCATCAACTATCTACAGACATAAAAGATGGTCAACAAGTTACTCGCAGAAGACCGATATCAGTGATAACTCAACGAGTCAACCATATAATCAAGATGATTGTAGCTCAAAAGACTCAAAGTTACCCTCCTATGTTGGTATAAGTTGTACTATTTCTGGTTATAGTAGCTACAGTCGTTACTGTTCATCTATTCGAGGGAGTATCAGTCGTGGAAGTAGTCCAATCATGAGAAACTACGAGGTAATTGATGGACCCAATGTTGTTCAACATCATCATACACATAATCATCATTTTCATCATCAAATTCACCATAACAACAATCACAGTCATCTAGATTCATCTCATCAACCACAAAATCAACGTCAAACATTATTTTCAGCAATCTCACCAAACAATTGGTCCAGAGAGGAAAACGGAATAATCTCAAACCATACCCACAGGAATAATGATTTAAATTGTGAAGATTCAGAGTATGATGTTGATACGAGTGAATCAAGTGAAAAGTCTCTAGTTCAAAGAAGGATTGAAAGTTTGTACGGTTCAAATGTTGCCGAAGTTTGGAGGGACTCTAGATCAAAAGTTAAAAAAGTTAATAAGAAAAAGATTGAAATGATCAATCATCGAAGTCCATCTTGTCCTCCTCATGCTCTTAAATCAAAAGAGTGCAAAAGTAAGAAATTATTTTAATTTACTTTTTTATATTTATTTCTCATTAATTTTCAACTCATTCATTAATTTTTTACTCTAATTTCAACACCAATTTCTGTTAAAGCTATTAATATTTGATTTTTTATTCTAATTTTGTTTCTTTTGCAGAGTCTCCTGCAGTCTTCAGTCATCTGAATGAGAAATTCTTGAGTAAAATTGATGCTGACCCCAAAGAACCGGTGAACGGACTTATTAGTAGGCTTAATGAAGTATTAAACGTTAACGGCACTAAGGAAAACGGAATACAATCAACTAAAGAGAACGGATTCCATCTTAGTGATACAATCGGACATTACCATCACAATCATAATGGGGAAACTGCTCATGGGAATGGCTTTGAGCGTCATCTTTCAGATGATTGCATGGGAGAAGATCAAGTTGACAAGGTTAATATTAAAGAGGATAACCATTATGAGGAGAAGCAAGTTATCAAACACGGTGAAATGTATTTGATAAAATTGGAGGAGACCATAAAAGAAATTAAAGCTCAAGTTAACAAGACTGAATTAATATTACAAGAAGAATCTCATCTAATGACTGAAGAGATTATTGGTAATTTATTATCATCTATTGGTAAAGGAAAACTTCTCATAACTCAAAAATTGAAGCAATTCAGAGAGCTATGCCATAAAAACATTGTAAGTAAATTCAATCAAAATTCAACAATTCAAAATACTTTTCTTTTCTTCAAAATTATTCCTATTTTTATTTCTTTTTAATCTTGTTAATGAATTTCAGGTAGCTTTAAACTTGATTTTAAAATGTCAGCATGTTTATAGTCACCCAACAGAAATTATCAGTTCAAAGTTTAACTTTGAACAAGGAAGATGAAAAAAGTGAATTACCTTAAACAACCTCAGGGCTCAATTTTTCTTTCACAGTCGATGACTACATTTAAGTTAGTAAAATCTGGCTTTACCTTTTAGCTACTCAATAATTTTTTTTCCTCATGACAGTTTAGAAATTAGAATTCATAGTTTGTTCTCTCTATCACTCTTCTTCTTTCTGTTTCTGTATTTCCCCTTACTTCCAATAATTCACAGTTCTAATCCATTTATTTATTTGTTTTTTCTATAGAATGGCAACAGTTCTGAACAATTTTCCACAAAAAATGAAGATTTGGACGGTTTCTGGGAAATGGTGTATATTCAAGTTGAAGATGTGCTTAATGGTTTCGAAGAAATTTACAAATTGAAACAAAATAATTGGATTGTTAATGAATCTGCTAAAGTGAGTCATAATAGTCATGTAGTCCAACAATTTACAATTATTGTCATAATTGATTGCTGTAGACATGTTAAAGTATAGTACAAGTGTTCAGGAATATTTCGGGAAATTTATCATTCAGTTATCAAGTCATTTCTTTATTTCTTGGAAAATTGAAACACGTGATTTAAGACTGATTTTTAACCACAAATCTTGAGTAGAGAAAGTTAGTTGACAACTTGAAGGTATTTTTTAATGTCTTCCCTTTATGTGTCAATGCTAATTTTAAATAGCGCAAGTGACACAATCTTTAGAAATGTTGATCATAAATTATGATCTAACTTTTTTTCATGCGATTGTTTGACTGTGATGCTTTTAATAACTGTTTGGTTGATCCTTAAGTTAACATCTTAATGAGTCTGATTTATGTATGTATTGATCAATTGCAAATGAGTGTAACCAGACAGAAAATTTACACTCACTCAATAACACATTGTGTGCTACTTTTAAGTATTTAACAGTTTTTTGTATTGAGAAAAAAAGAGTCAAGTGTACGAATTCGCGCATCAGATCAGAAGTTATACAATTTGATTATTTTTGTAGTGCTAAAATGGGTAACAATCATCTTTCAATCGTATTGCGTGACATGAGAGTAAAATGCAAAATCGGATTAGATTCCATCTTTTTGTGGTACAATTTGAACCAATCTTTTCTCATCTTAATGCTAAGTAATCAATCTGAAAATTTGACTGTTAAGTTTGTTTTATTGAATGTTGCGGTATTTATCTGGTTAGAAGTATTTTATGAAATTATTATATCACAATCAATGCGTGTTTTAATTGTAAATTGTTTGATCCTTTGTTGCTTTTTAGCTTTTAATTCAATAGTAATTAATATTTATTCTTGTTTTTTACAGATAACTCAACCAAAGAACAGATCTCCGAGGAAAATAACTTCAAAGGCATCACCTAAACAACAAAAAAACACAGCTCGAGATGAAATGAGAAAGCAACGTTTAAGAGAAGCTAAACTCAAGAACCAATCACGGATTCAAGAAAAGAAGGATGATGAAGATATCGTTATTTTCGTCCCTTCGAATGATAATATGTTGATAAACAATGGTCAAAAGAATGATTCTTAGTTCTATTATTATCATTAACGTCATTTACAGTGCAGAGGATAAGCAGCCGAAATAACTTCCTCTCTCTCTCGCTATCTCCTTTATTGTACTTCATCTAATGTTAATGAATTGGTTTAGGATGAAAGTGAGAAATGCAAAAACAATTTTGTACCAATCTCACGATTCATTTGCTTAATATTGATCCAACTTTGAGTCTTTAAAGCAGTTCTTTGTTAAATCAACTAGTACAATGTAAATGGAATTTTTTCTTGTGATAATCGACTGAGCGCTATCTCAAGTACCTTTAAAAGGTTTATTAGGTTCAAAGTTATAACTTTTTTCTACTTTCCAGCCAATGTTAGACCTTAAATCGTCTTACTGTTGGTTATGATAGAATAGTTTACCGGGCGTTTCTATTATTCTCGTTCTCGTCAGTAATAATTTTTTTTGTTTGATATCAAACAAAGGTAAAAGCACGTCTATATTTATAAATCATATTCAGTTGTAGCATAATTCAGACATCCAATTCATTCAATTTCGCCCACTTTTTTTACGTAACTAATATGAAGATATGAAGATATTCCCATAATTGTAAACAGATCATTTATGCAGCTAAATTTTGAAAACTCATAAGTTGAACTTATTGTGTTCACTATTTAGTTTGACACTTCATCATCCAATTTTGTTGCAAACCTTTTCTGCTTTTCATTACCATAATAATGATTATATTTTTTGTTTTCAAGTTTTCAACCAACAATGGAAAATATTTGTATCATTTTTTTGCATCAATTGTTTTTCTGCTCTCCTGTCAATCCTTGTGAACAATCAATTTTGTAAAGAACGAATCAAAAGTCTGAGAATCAAAGCTAAAACCGATTAGTAATGATCATGTTTACCTCAAGATTAATGCTCATAATATTAAGCAGTTAAGTCCTTGTTGTCGTAACCTAATCTAAACATAAGGCCGGTTTTAACTGTTTCTTTCCATTGTCATCAATTTTATTATACAATTAGCATTATTACTATGATTATAAAATGACTATTTATTAATATTATTAATGTAATTTATTCGAGAAACGAATAAATTTAAATTTCTTTGCGACTAATTTCAAAAATCTTTCATCAAATCGTTCTTTTTCTTGTTTCCACTTTGATCCGTACTTGAAATGTTTTATTGGTTTGGGTGATAAACAAAGATTATACACTTGTAACTGACCCATCCGTAAACGTTAACAATACGGTCAATTGTTTCTGATTTCGTGACTTTTAATCCAAAAATGGTATCATTGATTATTGTGATTAATTCTCGAATTCAATATAAATTGAATCATTTTCCTGTTCTGTGAATATATCACTCAATAATTGTATTTAATATTGATGAGCCATTCACACATGATTACTGTAATTTGATTGTCTGTGTATCATGATGATAGCTTCAATCTAATTCATGATTTCTAGTTGAGAAGGTTAAATCTGGATTGCAATTCAATAATGATTTAAATTTGACACATCACGTTTCCAACATTTACAATTTACTTGCGATTAAGAATGGTTAAAGCTAGAAGTCAAATTAAACAAAGGAAAAATAAAGGTAAACAGGTTCAACTTGATTTAGTTAACCTCTAACCAATCATCAGCCATTATTAATATCTCAATGATCCATGATCCTAAACAACACAAGGAACACATTCATAATTTAGTTTTACCTTTTTGGATAATATATAAGGTAACTAGAGGCGACTTAATTAACTGAACTCTCAGCAAAAAGGTTGAACTTGTTCAACTCCTAATTATTTTTGTTATGGGTTAAACTTAAATTGGTTCATCTTGAGGCAAATCTCTGATTCAATTAAAGATTAGGAGTGTTGGGATTTATTTTATTCAACCGTTTCACTCACTATTCACCAAATATTAAAACAAAAAGGATAAAAAGTGCTAATCTTTTAATCAATAATGTAAACTAGTTAACTCTTGCTACTGTAACCAAAAAAGATTGTATAAACTCCTATGAAAGAAGAGGTCAGAAGGCAGAAGATTAAGATTGTTATAAAGCAAACTGATTTAATAAGGCCGAGTGTCAGTATTTCGTAAATATTGTTGATTTCCCTGGGTCAAGAAGTGGAAGATGATGTGGATGGAAGAAACCGAAGGTAGAGACCAAAAAAATGATGTAAAAAAGAGGGAAAAAAGGTAAAAAAGATAAGGAGATTTGGGTAAATAAGGATGAGGATGAGGATGGGGATGATGGTCTGAATGATGTTGGTTTGAATGAAAAAGAAGTTTAACGAGTAGCAACTAAATCCAGTTTAACTTCCCTTATCATAATCATCTTCATCACCATCATCTTTCACGGTTACATTTTTACACAATTTTTTCACCATTTATTATTTGGTCGATCATCTTTACTCATCAACAGCCAGAAGTAATGTTAATAGTGGCCTATAGACTTTTGTTTATCAATCATCAGTCCATGTCAACATTATTTGATTAATTAATCATCACTCTTCATCGTCTGTTGTTGTCTACCAGTGTAATTGATACTTATTAACCATCATCCTCAGTGTGTTGGCCGAAAAGTCATGGTCAACCGGAATAACGCGCACTTTGTTTTGTTTGTTGTTGCTTTTGCATCATTCAATATTTGGATAATTCCAGTTTATTCAATTGTCTCCCAAACAGGATGTGAGTGTCTCAACAAATTAGGAACCATCAGATTCTCATGTAATGGTGTCAATGTCAATGGATCAGCGTCTGGTAAGTACCACAAGTTAACCATCGCCATAGCTAGGTTCAGTTCAAAGTCCTTTCCTCTTCTTCTGTAAAAAGCTTTTTTCACTTGTCTATTGAATTATTTGAAAATTTTGACCAAAACAAACCAAAACAAAACATTATTACTGAGCAATTTTATAATTATAAGGTTATATTAGATACTCACCACATTAAAAGCCATTTGATTTGATAAATTAACGGTTAACTTTCTCTTCGTTTGATTGTTTAGTATAATAAAATCACCCTTCAAGCTTTCAAGCTTTATTTGGTTTATGGTTAGGTTTTTGACTAAATCCTTTGCTATATCCAAAGTTACCCACTGATTGAACGCATAAAACATGTAGAAAAATTATGTTTGATTTAAGTCTGCATTTAAAACTAAATTCAACAATTAAGAAGTGATCGTAAATAGAAAAATCAGCTGACTGAGAAATCCGCCGATAACTTGAATTGAAACAAGCAAGAGTTGAACAACCGATTGTGTACTATTATGTTAATGTTAATTATAAGACTTTGAATTGCTGGGTAATAAATGAGCAATACAAATTTATTATTCAACTTTTGTATAAATGTTAGTGAAACAATAAGCAACAAATTATTTGCCATCCTTATTGTAACGAAAATATCGTCTTTTAAACTCTATTGATTGTTTGGTTTGAATTGTATTGTATTCAGACACTAATGCAATGTTAAAGTAAAAAATAATAATGAATTATTATCTAATAATCAGCCAACGGTTAAATTTGACCTTAACATAGTCGATATTGAATTTGAAGCATAGTAAGAAGCAGCTAAAAAGCTTTAACTTAAATGTCTTTTCCTGATTTAACCCGAATTTCTTGTTTCTTCTCAATCATTTCCCTGAACTCATCTTCCTCTTTTTTACAACATTTCATCTTGTTTCAATCTTTGAGTAACCATTAAAAAAAGGAAAAATTGATTGAATTTTGCTAATAATAATCTTTTCCTTTTACAAAAATTGTCCAATCTTTACAGGTCATCATTTTATTGATCGTTACTGCATTGAAAAGGCAGCCAGTTATGTACCCAAGAAACTCGAGATGGCCTTTCACGGTGGATCTATGTTGACCATGAGAGATGACACTTTCCAACGGATCCCTAATTTATCAGCCGTTAAAATTGCATTCACTGATTTATCTAACATAACCTGTAATTTGTTTTCCAACCTTCGTCAACTAGAGACTCTTGAGTTATGGTATGACCAGATAAACTTCATATGCGAAACCTCATTCCGTGATTTATCCAATATCAAGACAATCACCTTATCAGGGAACAAACTACACAATATTCCCTCTGGTTTATTCCGAGAGTTGAAAAATTTAACCATTCTGGATTTAGATGCCAATGATATCGACTCCATCTCATCGGAAACCTTTATTGGCTTGGCTAACTTGAATATACTAAATCTCAAGAAAAATAATTTGTCTGATATTGCTTGTTATGCTTTCAATGAGCTCAGAGGCTTACAAGAGTTATCATTGGGTTCCAACAGGATCACAACAGTTTGTGACAATGGTTTTGATGGTTTACTCACAATTCAATCTATTGACATGTCGGACAACAACATTAGCTTCGTTCCAGATAAATGTTTACAATCTGTAACCTCATTGAAGGCACTCAATCTTTCCAAAAACAAATTAAAGCGGATTCCATCTCGAGCATTTGACAAGTTAACCAACCTCAAGTATCTCAACTTACTTGAGAATCGTATTGAATACATTGATAGTGAAGCTTTTGCTGGTCTCATCAACTTGGAAGGCCTGTATTTGAATGAAAACAATTTGGAAATTATTGTCCGTAAAACATTTACTGGTTTAGATAATTTGAAAACACTTGATTTGGTTGCTAACAAAATCCGTGATATTGAAGCAATGGGATTAGCTGATCTAATTGAACTGAGAAATCTTGACTTGTCTCGGAATACAGTTCATAAATTGAAAAAGGACATGTTTTTTGGCCTAAACAAATTGGAATCATTGGATTTAAGCTACAATAAGATTGATACCATTGAGTTGGATGTTTTTGAGCCATTTGACAATTTACGTTCCCTTGCTTTGGGTAATAACAAGTTGACCCGTCTGGATGCTGATCTGTTGAAAGGGTTGAAGGCTCTCAAGAATCTTGACTTGAATGGTAATGAGATAGCAACTATATCGCCAAACGCATTCACTGGTTTACCTGAATTAAATTCACTGGATTTGTACAATAATAAGATTACTTCACTAAATGGTAACATCTTTATACCTTTGGCTAACCTGAATGAACTTAAATTGGGAGTCAATGGAATATCCAAGATTGAACCATTCACGTTTAAAGGACTCAAAAATCTTCGGACAATTGATTTACGCCTAAACTCAATCAATGTTATCGCAGATCGTGCCTTCAAAGATTTACGCAATTTAACTAACCTCGATTTGGGACACAATTACATTTACACTCTTTCAAGTCAAACCTTTGTTGGACTCAATAATTTGAAAATTTTAAACCTCTTCCAAAACAAGTTAACCTTTATACCTAAAAATGTCTTCTCTGATTTGGTTTCTCTTCAAAGACTCTACCTTCACAACAATGCCATTATGCAAGTGCAAGACAATTGTTTCTCTAATTTAGCTAATCTTCAACTGCTCAACATGAGACTCAACCAGCTTGGTTATATTACCCGAGGAACCTTTTTCATTGAAGAGCGTAACAATACTAATCCAGTTGTGATTAACTTACGGAACAATAAAATGAAAGCTGACCAAATACGTATGGATGCCTTCCTTAAAAATAAGTCGAGAAAAGTTCGATTGGAATTGCAACAAAATTTAATGACTTACATACCAGAGGAACCGTTCAGACTTTTCCTGGCTTTGGGCAACAGTCTTCATGTAATTGATCCATCTGCACCCAATTCAAATCCTATTGAGTGTGAAAATAAACTGAACAAATGGTGGCTGGATGATAGAGATAACAATCCACGATTATATCAAGATTTTGGCTGCAAATGAATTTTTCAAAAGCATTTAATGGTTTTGTTTGAAACTGCCAATTAGCTTATGGTCCAATTTTAAACGTTTAGACTAATCAAAATACCTTCTCGGCTAACCGTTTATTATTGACTAATTGAGGGTTTGATCAACTTTGCTATAAACAGTAACCACTGATATTTTGGCTTTCACAAATTTTAATTCAACTTGTTGTTCAATCAAATATTTATACAAATCATTTTCCTGTCATAATTTATTTTATTTATTAATTTATCTATTTATTAAATGTAATTTAATTTTGGTTACTGTCAACAGTTAGCGCCTTCTAAAGAAATCAAAATGTATTACAGTAAAACTTCAATAAAGTTGATTTATTTATTAATTTTCAACAGTCCATTAAAAAGTGCTATTCTATACATTGTAGTTCATATTAATATGAAAAAAGATGCGCATTAATTTGCAAGCCTAAATGTTTTTCAACGTCTCTTCATATCCATTCAATTTGAATTAAGTTTGGTATTTCATATCAAAACAAAACAAAAAAGTCTACAACACCGGGGGTTCCCAAGTGGTCTCCCTCCCAAGTACTAACCCGGCCCGAAACTGCTTAACTTCGGAGATCGGACGGGATCCGGTGCTTTCAGTCTGGTATGGTCGTAGACACTAGAAAGGTTCAATAGTGCAATATAAACATAAAGACTTATTTTAACAGACAATATCGATATTTTTTTCTTTAAATTTCTGATTCTAAATTCTAGTGAGAAAAATGTGCATAGAATAATTTTCAATGAAATGGCTCGAATGAATGATTTTCTAGTAGTTTCTTAATATGATTAATTTAATACGAATGATCAGAATGTGATGCGTTTCGTTTGTTAATTTATTCATACTTTGAAAGAAGTTAAAAAATTATTCTTCTCATTTCGCAATTCAACAAAATACAAAAATTTAATTTATAGGAAAACAGTTTGACGAGTCATCATCAATTCATGATGAACTTTTGTGATCCCTTTCCATCTATGGTTAATAATATTTGCAAAGAACGGAAATCATCACAACTTCGATTGATTTTAATTTCACCAGTCAATAATTCACCAGAGTTTAATTGAATTGGTTCCTTCAGTAATAGAATAGATTGTTTCCAGTGTGTAGCTTCAGCATGTGGTGATGTACTGAGAGATATAGGGGACTTTTTGTCTACAGTGAAAAAACAGTCAAACCAAAAAACCAACCCATGAACTGCACCCGATGAAGTCATCCTCAATTGGAAAGAGTTTTGTACGACTTGAGCCTCTTCAATTGTACATGTTCCTATGTCAAAGGTTTTAATCTCAAAAACATCACTGATAACGGACCCACTGTTTACATCCTTCACCAAAACTTCACTGAGGACATCTTTCTTCATGGAAGTCATTTTGAACCCATAAACATCATTCCAAAAATTGATACGTTCATTGTAAATTTGTTCATTAGATAAGGCAGCCATGTAAAGAGTACAAGATCCTGGTAACATTAAACCTCCTGGTTTCAGATATTTATCACGAGCTTTGATAACAGTGTCAAGCATGCCTTCAAAAAGGAGAAAATAGCCCATCCATTCGGATACAATTATGTCAAACTTTTCATTCAATTCTAAATCTTCAAGTTTTCCTTTTTTAAAAACAATAGAGTCTTCATATCCATTCTCCCGAGCAATGTCCATAGCAGAATAAATAATTTCACTTTGATCAACGGCGACAACCTTAGCAGCGCCTGATTTGCAAGCAAACAAAGATAAAATTCCAGTTCCACATCCGATATCAAGAACTGTACTACCGAGAAAATTATTAGTGTTAGAGTCTATTGCTTGGCGGTATGCTTCTGTTCGAGGTCGATCTGAAAGCATTTCCCAATGAATCGAGTGATGTGAGTAACTGTAAAAATAATTATCACTATCCAAATCATGATGAGACGATCTAGGTTCATCAATTTGACTCAGATCAAAGATCAAAGATCTCATTTTTTTATATTCTTCAAGGAACATTGCTTGTTGTTGAACGTCAACTTTTGGTAAATTTTGAACTAATTCACTACAATTAATATCAGCATCATCATCTGAATCATCAGCCATATCTGAAAAATTAAGATAAAAAGTCAATTTTAACGAAATAAATAAATACTGAAAATTTTAAAAACTCACCTAAAGTTAATAAAAGATCATTTTCTTTTACTGGTTTCATATAAACGTCTTCTTTCCAATCATCTTTGCTCAAAATCTCTTTGAGCTGAGCGGGTTCAACTTTACAAGAGCGAATGAAATTGATAAGTTTAATGTATAAAATAGAATCAACAAGATTTGTTGAACAAATATCTTTTAAATCAACAGAGTGTACATTTTTCAGATGCAAAAGTAAACTATCACCATTGATCTCGATCTGGTCACAGAATAAACATAATCCTTCTAAAGATGTATCTACGTAAGGTTCCTCTATGTAATCATCATCAGATCCACTAGTTGAATCGCTATCTAAATCATTTTTTGAAGTCATTTATTTATTAAAAGACTTCGTATAAAATATAAACGATCACAAAAATTAAAAAAGATTCACGTGCTGAACTATTTACTTTTTTTTCATACTTTTCAAGCTAAGCCATGTGTTTAGCCGTCGGCTAGAAACATGTAAGACTTCAAGTTGAAGTTGAGTTGGTAAAGCCGAGTTGCAGCCATTTCATTTAATCGCTAAAAATTATAAACTTTATTTTTAAATTAATTCACTCTTAATCCTCAAACAGTTAGACCTAAATTAAAAAAATCGAATGAAATAAATTGTCAACAAGGCAACAATTTGAAGCAATAAATTGAATATGTTTGAAATTGAATCAAAAAATCTTTTTTTAACATTATAATATTTGTTAAATACATTCCGTTTTGGCATTATCGTGACTTAATTAATTTACATATCATCAGGTTAAGAAAATATTGCATAAAGCTTATGCATGGATTGAAGGAGGGTTTCATTACATTTGGCCCTTTTGACCAGAATCTATTAATTATTTCCTCATGATTTCAGATTGTTGCACTAGTTAATAATTGTGATTATAACAAATATATAAATAATTCTGAGGTAACCTTTACATAGCATTTTCATATCAAATTTTCCGTTATTTGCTAACGCAATTAATGACCTCAATCTCCAACAATCTCGTAAATTTTTTTCTTCTTCCGATTTCGACTCAATTTAGGCCGCAAGTGTAATACTATTCCAGATGATATAGATTTTTCAGACGATTTGGATTCATGTGGCTTTTTTACTTCTTGAGAATCTTCTTTAAATGGTTGGAAAGCGTCTTTTTTCACGGTCAATTCTGATTTAGATACAGAAAAGGAAAGAAAAAATTAGTCAAAATGAACAAAAGATATTTTTTAAATTGTAATTACTCACCTGAGGAACTACTATTATTAGGTGTTGAAACCTTAATTGTACAGTTTTCTCGCAATATTTCTGGGTTGCCATGCGTATTATTTAAATGATTATTTAATTCGGTTCGATCGAGTGTTTGATAAGCACATTTTTTACATTTAAATATCTCATAGCCTTTGTGTTTAACGAGATGTTCAATCAGGTTAGTCTTAGAATCAAACTGCAAATCAGGACAATTGTTACATTGAAGGGTATTCAAGTTTCCAACCTTTTCGAGTTCATTATAGATAGAATCAGGTATAACTAGATCTAGATTCTCATTTGAATTTAAATTTCTACACGCTGTAGGTGAGATAATTTTTTGCTCAGTATTAATTTCCTTTTCACATTCATCAGGTTTAGAACATCCTTTTTCATGCTGATTTTTACTGTCGGCTTTGATAAAATATTTACCACAATTATTGATACATGTGAATATGATGGGATCAACTCGACGGACTTTTTCTTGGTTAACGATTGGTTTTGCATCCTTGTCTACTGAATGAGTAGAAGTAGTATTTGTTGTTTGTTGCAAATCTGATTCCACATCATTGGTATTTTCGCTACCAAAGTTTTTATAAGCATTTGTTTCATCGGATGTTATTTCAGTTGTTGATTTGTACTCTGATCTAGATTTATCACAGCTTTTTCTTTTAGAACTTTTGCCAACTTTAATTGGTACAAGCTCCAATTCTGATGGCGTCGTTTTCAGAATATCATTTGAAAGTGGATAACAATCTACTTTTTCTTGATCCATATCAACAGTATCCCTGCTAACATCGCTTTCATTTTCAGTACCATAAGTATCATCATTATAGTCGGTATGAATGGTTTCACTTTCATCAATCACATCAGTTTTAGTTTCAGGATAAGCTCGATGTTTAACTGCTTCTCGCAGGTATTTAACTTGGGTTTTGCCTTTTCTATGAACTTGCATCATATGTCTAGTTGCGTTGAATAATTGTTTAAAGGTTAAACAACAAAAGGGACATGGATAAACAAGCCTTTGAATATTGTGTATTGTTTGAATGTGTACGGTTAAGGTTTTTTTCGAACTGAATTTGGAATTGCACATCGAACAAGGAAGATTGGCTATCGCAGAAGGGGACTTAGTTTCGTAATCATCGTTAAAAGTCTTGGGTTTATTGCGAATAGATGTATGTTCTCGGCTCTGGTAATGATTTGATGAAGATGAAGATGGCGATGAAGGAATCGATTGTTGACTCAATTCCTTATTGACAACAACGTCTTCAACATCTATTGATTCATTTTCCAACTCACTTATAGAGGCAGATTTCATGATTACACTTTCTCGAGAACATTCTTCGTCATCCGATACCAAAGAGGATATTGACCGAGAGTAACCACTAGTTTCTTGGAGGTTTAATTCTGTTTCTTCACAGGCCACTGAATGGTTAGCATTTTCGTCAATATTATAAACTTCAGTTTGCATTTGCTTGACGGAATCTTCATGGGTTTGAGACCCAGGAACAGAAAAAGAGGATTGTTCGACTTCTTGAGCTGGGAACTCACCATCTTGGTTTGAAAAACGACTATTATGAACGTAGTTATCGATGCTGTCAGATTCTTTAGGCTTGGTCTCATAAATTTGATGAACAGCATTTTTTGTTGTAGAAATTTCAGTCAGATGAACTAATGATTCAACCTTCGAGGATTGCTTTTCATGCAACAATTTATTGACGCAAAGCTCTAGATGTTTCCGTTTAGCAGCTAGTTTATCAGGTTGAATGTTGCTTGAAGCAACGTTATCTTCAGATGACTTTAATAACTGCTTAGAATGTTCACTATCGGAAAAATTGAAGGACGTCTCTTTTTGTTCAGTTGAAGTTTTAGTTGCCATTGGACGACTATCTCTACTTCCGGACTGTTTATTGTGAGACGCTGTATTTTGATCTGTTTGTGTTTTTGATCCAATAGTATAGTTACCAAGTAATCTATCTGAATAGCTATCATCAAAAAGTAACATGTTTTCACATTGATGATCTTTACAGTAGAATCTTTTATGTGAAAGCAGGTTGGCCAAGCTTCGGAATAAATTGCGACAAATTCGACATTCATAAATTATATTACACTCATTTAGAATGATATCTTTGATCTCAGGAGTTCCATTATGAACACATTGAAGGATTTGACGAACATTATTAGTACCCAAGTTTATGGGTTCTCTTATCGTAGATACATCTCGATCATCTGGTCCTGAATCATTGACAGATAATCCACAGTTTGAACAAATGCATTTACATTTATGGACATCTTCTTTAGGCTTTTTCGATTCTTTGCTACCATCGCGTATCGCAGCTCTAGTGTGATCATTATTTTTTATATCACTTTTCCCTTTAGATGTCGATACAGTTGAAGATGTCGAAGATCTTGTTTGCGTTCGACTCCCATGATTAGAAGAGTCGCTGTTTAGGCTTAAACCATGTTTGAATTTAATTTTGAAATTAGTGGGATGAGAAGATGATGCACTTGAGGAAATGTTAGACTTAGTGGCTCGTGTGGATGAGGTCCGAGTTAGCCTGGATTTATCTCCTGAATTTATTTTGCACTTCATTATGTTGAAATATGTCTGTAAAATAGATTAAAAAAAAGACATTAGTTAGGTGAGAAAAGCATTTGCAAGAAACCGAATGGAAAGTAAACAGAGAATTAATTTTGTACCATACTAGGTTGGTATCACTTTTTTATCTAAAGGTTGCATCTCTCTCCGAATCATCAACACAAATAACAAAATCGCCTATATATTCAAGTCAAAAATAAACAGAGTAAAAAATATCTCGTTCACATTTGCTAGTTAAACAAAAGCAATCAATGTTACAGCAAAAGACAAGGTATACACACTTGTTAGGAGAAATATCCAAGACCGACTAGGGTATTTTGCATTAGTTGTTGAAGCCAAAGAAATGGTTATTCCGTGAACACAATAAACCAATCCAATGGCTACATTTAGTATTGAACCGTGATATTGATACCAAAAACAGAAAGATGTTGATTATCCAAAAATGAGGGAGCCTATGTTATTGAAGCTGGTCACATCTTTATTTAATTAAAGAATTATCCCATAAATATCCTGTAAAGTATATATTAGATGAAAGCTGAAAGGTTGAATTAACATAATTTATCAAGAAAACATTACCTGGAATCTGTCCAATGATAATTAAACTGGTTCGTATTAGATAGCATAGAGAAAAAACAAGGAAAACAAAAAGCAAAATTCAGGTGAATGTGGAAAGTAAAAGAGAAAGGGAGTACAGCGAAAGAAAGACAGTCTTTTGAGCACAGATTGTTTGGTAAAGGAGATTGAAACTGGTAGCCTACCAGTTTCAATCCAGTGGTAGGGTTTGCGGTTTTAGTCACTATTCTAGGCATTTTTACTTGTCTTCATTTCTAGTCTTTTCCTTTCCTCCTTTCTGATTGGTGTGGTGGTTTCTCAGCGTTCAAATGGTTTAATACTTGACACTAAATAAGACCTTTCAAGATCCTTCAATAGCTCTCGGAATCCATGCCTTAAAATCAAACTTGAGTTCGACAGAGAACAGAAAATTCCAACAATTTCATCGACTAGGATCGTTGAAACTGAATGGCTCTAATATTAAACTCCAACAGCATTATCGTGTCATATCCACGAGATCTTTTAGATTCGTGTTCGACATTGCAAGAGGACTGAGTATGTAAAGCAAAACCAGGACCCACAAACAGAAAAGAAGGACGATATTCATTTCTAGCATTTGAAAACGATCTTTTGGTACGAAGAGGAACTCGAAGAGCTCTATCGACAAAAGATTTAAGAGAGAGAAAGAGAAATAGAAATCTTTAATTTCATTATTTTTTATAAAAAAGTTGCTCAAAAAGCTATTTTCATAAGAAGATAATCCTGCGAAGATGATAATTTGAAATATTTTTATGGTAATCAGTCTATGATAGAGTCGATGGATTGAAGTTCACACTTTAATCGCTTTTGTACTTTAAAATATTATAATTGGTGGAAAGATGATGATTGTAAGAGATGCGATTCTTGGGATGTAAAGTCGCAGTTTTAAAGCCATTTGTCGAGAGAAATATCGATGAATATGAGAAAATGTTTGCCAATCTTTTATACCGATGAAAAATGGGCTTCGATTCTGAATATAATTTTATATAATTATATAATTTTATATAAGAACGCTCAGAGTGATGATTTGTCTGTAAATCGAAGTGCTGTTGTTGATTAGAAGGGAAATTTCTTCTGAAATAATTTCGTTTCCTAATAGGCCATTATTAGATCATTAGGAAAATCAGTTTGATGCAAAAAATAACCATCTATAGCTGGGTAATCTGAACAAACATGGCTTGACGGAGAGATATTGATAAATTATTGAACGATAGCTCAAGTGAATTTAAAAAGTCGTTTAAATTTGCTTGTTTCTTTGATCAACGCCATCTTCATGGAGAACTTGTTAATTCAATGTTTTAAAAGCTTTTCATTTTCATTCAATAGGTTTATTGTGACAATCTGTTTTGATGAGGCAATTAAATTGATATTTAAATTATAGAATCATCATTCGTAATCGTAAATTTTGCCATTAATTGAGTCCATAAAAATCATTGGTTAAAGTGTTAATAACTAAAACTGCCTGTCACATTATGGATCAAGCTATTTCAACCATAAAATACACTAAGGTAAGTTATCGATGACAATTTTTTTGCTAAATCTGTTTTCAAATTTAAATTCAGAAATGTAAATCTATTTCATCTTGATTACTATTTTTCACAGATTTTTATTAACAATGAATGGTGTACTGCCACTCATGGTTTTTCATTTGATGTTATCTGTCCAATTGATGGAAGAAAGATTGTTTCTGTCGAGAAAGGAGGAAAAGTATGATTTCTTGTGTGTGTTTAACTGTTCCCAAGTTAAAATGTCATTTCATATTTAGGAGGATATTGACAAAGCGGTGAAGGCAGCACGACAAGCATTCAAGTTAGGCTCAACATGGCGAACTATGGATAGCTCCGCTCGGGGTCTATTGCTTTATAAATTTGCTGATTTATTGGAAAGAGAAAAATTATCTCTAGCTGTGAGTTAAATTTATCCTTAAATTAAATTTGACTTCATTTTTCAACACAATTATTCTTAATTTATGATTTGTGTTTTAAAAGACAGTAACAATTGTTTGTTTTCAGTCTAATTTCATTGTCCATCACTAATAAATTTGTTTACATTATTAGAAACTAGAAACTTTAAACAATGGTAAACCATTGAATGATGCGATTGGAGATATCGAGGCATCAGCCTGCGTTTTCCGATATTATGCTGGTTTGGCTGATAAAATACATGGAAAAACAATACCCGCTGGTGAGATTTTTGATTCTTTTTGAATATTTCACATCATAATTTTTTTCTGTCTATTAATTAAAAGATGGACCATTATTTGCCTTTACGAGAGCTGAACCAATTGGTGTTTGTGGACAGATCATTCCGGTTAGTTTGACTTTTCATGAAATTTCATGCAATATTGTTAATCACTCGATTATTAGTGGAATTACCCAATCATGATGATAGCTTGGAAATGGGCTCCATGTTTGGCAGCTGGAAATACAATTGTCCTTAAACCTTCTGATATGACCCCGTTGACCGCACTGTACTGTGCATCTCTTACTGTTGAAGCTGGATTTCCTCCAGGAGTAATTAATGTCGTACCAAGTTTTGGACCAGAGGCTGGATCAGCAATTGTACAACATCCTGATATTGATAAAGTTTGCTTCACAGGTGAAAAAAGAAAATTTAATGCAAGTTAATAAGCAATTCTAATTTAATTTAATTTGTTCACAGGTTCAACTGATGTTGGAAGGTTAGTCTTGCAAGGAGCAGGGATTTCTAATATTAAAAGAGTGACTTTAGAGCTTGGAGGAAAAAGTCCTCTTGTGATTTTTAATGATTTTGATGGTAAATTATAAATATCAATACTTTTTGATCATATTGTGGTTTTTTAATAATTAGTTGGTTTTTCTTTAAGTTTCGCAAGCTGCACAGATTGGACATAATGCTGTATTCACAAATATGGGACAAAATTGTTGTGCTGGTAAGCCAATCTTATTTTCATGTTATGTTAGCATCTTTTCAGTATTCCATCGAATAATTTTTATCAACTTCATCTTATATTTTTTTAAGGTACTCGTACTTATGTCCATGAGTCAATTTATGATGAATTTGTTGCTAAAAGTGTTCAGTTAGCAAAAGAACGAATCGTCGGGGATCCATTCTCTGAAAGTACTCAACATGGTCCACAAATCAGTCAACAACAGATGGAAAAGATTTTGAAAATGATTGAAATGGGTGTTAAAGAAGGAGCCAAACTTATGACTGGAGGAAAAAGAATTGGAGAGAAAGGCTTCTTTGTTGAACCAACTGTATTTGCTGATGTTGAGGATCATATGACTATCGCTAAAGAAGAAATTTTCGGACCTGTTCAATCAATTTTAAAATTTTCAACCCTTGAAGAGGTTATTGAACGATGCAATGCATCGAAATATGGATTAGGAGCAGGAATTTTAACTTATGATATTGATAAAGCGTTAACTTTTGCTCAATCTGTACAATCTGGATCAGTTTGGATCAATTGTTACGACGCCAATACCACTCAAACACCTTTTGGAGGCTACAAAATGTCCGGATTTGGAAGAGAATTGTAATTACATGAAATATCATCGATACACTCTTCGTATTCTGTAATTTGTATTTCTAATTTATTTTCTTTTATTTACAGAGGCGAAGATGCAATCAAAGATTATACAGAAGTCAAATCGGTAATATTTCTATAATTCTTTAAGTTCTGTAAGTTTCTTAAACTGTGTTTTCTTTCATTTCAGGTCATTGTCAAAATTCCCCAGAAGAATGCTTAACATCAACCACATGGCTGTTTAAATTCTCTCGGCATTCATTTTACTCAATTTGGGATCTTCCAACTCAAAATTAAATAATTCTCAAATAAAAATCTAGTAATAACATGTAGCTTTTGATTCTGGAATAAGCTATTTTGTGTAAACCAAGTTATATTTTGTATTAATCGTTATCTAAAATCGGTAGCGAGTAATTGCAAAATAAATATTAATTTTTGTTGCCATCAATGATCAAAAAAAAGAGTAACATGAGGTTGAACGGTATTTTCAGAGTTGCTTATGCAGCTGAGTATTAATAGTTATGTGTCCAGTCTCTATTGACTGTGCGTAACATGAAAAAAAATTCTGGTTCATACCGTACAATGAACTGAAACATCTTGAATTTTCAGCAACCAGAAGCCGGTATAACCGGTTCGGTTATTGAAGCTTATAAAAAGTGTACAAATATGTAAATTGCGGCTTTGTTCATGTGGTTTACATTAATATTTAAAATGCACTTGTAAGACATACTTGATACAGATTGGGAGAAGCATTTGAGATTCAAGAGTTTATTTATTAATTTACTCATTAATTAAACATTTTACAACAAAAAAATCTCTTTGTATGGGAATCTCAATTTAAGGTCAAATTTAGCTTTAATTAACTACTCGACCAGTATCACATTGTTTCTTGTTAAACACAATTAACTGTATAAGTTACAATAAAAGCTAACAAGAAATTTGAAGACAATTGTTAACGTCACAATTGAGTGAACTAGATTTTTTTTCTGATCAATTCACATCAATCATCAGATAGACGTAAATCTATTGAAATAAATAAAATATTTTTGGTATTGTTTCCGATTCAGAATTTAACTCGGTTGAAGTAACCGCCGGTATTAGTTATTGGTAACCAGCCGCCTGGGTAACTAAGACCATCTTCATTAGTTGCAAACATTCGCAATAAGAAATCTGTGAATATTTCCAGAAATCATCCAACATCTTTTTGTTGATTGATTTTTTGTTGATGAGTCCATTTCCTTTGGTCTTCATCATTTAATTGAAAATTTAACTAAACTATTTATTGTACTTTTTATTTATTTCCTATATTTCTAGTTTTTTTTCATTTTGTCTGCTTTATTTCTTCCCTGCTTGTTGAAGCTGACAGGTTTGTACTGCTGGTTTGTGGTGGTGGTGGCTGCTCCACGGTTTTCTACTTCTTTTTCTCTCTTCTCACCTTTTCCTCCCCTTTTATCTGGTGCTAGTGAAATTTAAATTCGATTATGGCTTGGACTCCGGCTCAAGACGGCATCCAGCAGATCCTTCAATTGCTCAAAGAATCCCAATCACCGGACTCTCAAACCCAAAGAGCTGTTCAACAGAGGCTGGAAGAGTTAAATAATTGTCCAGATTTTTGCAATTATCTAGTATTCATTCTTACTAAACTTACAACTGAAGATGAGGCAACGAGATCTTTGAGTGGTCTCATATTAAAAAATAGTTTAAAGGCTCATTGGTACGAATTTCCCCGAGAAGTAACTGAATATGTGAAAGCAGAATGTCTCAACAGCATTGCCGATCAATATCCATTAATCAGAGCCACCAGTGGTATCCTCATTACAACAATAGCATCAAAAGGTGAATTGTCCAGTTGGCCTGAACTTTTACCTAGGCTATGTATGATGCTCGATTCAGAAAACTATGCCACATGTGAAGGTGCATTTAGTGCCTTGCATAAAATATGTGAAGATATGGCGGAAGCCTTGGACGCTGATACAACCAATAGACCATTAGATTTCTTAATACCAAAGTTCCTCCAATTTTTTCGTCACGTAAATCCTAAAATCCGTGCTCATGCCATATCTTGTGTCAATCAATTCATCATGATTAGAAGTTCATCACTAATGGCTCACATCGACACGTTCTTAGAGGTAACCTTTTCACTAGATATTTTTTTGTTATTTATTTAACTTTTCTTCTCCTCAATTTTAGAATCTTTTTCATTTGGCCACTGATGAAGAACCTGAAGTTAGGAAGAACGTTTGTCGAGCTCTAGTCATGCTACTGGAAGTTAAAATTGACCGATTGATACCACATATTCATAGCATTGTAGAGGTAATTAAAATATCATGACAATTATTCTGTTTGTTTCTTTGTGCCCCTTTTCTAATCGCCCGTCTATGTAGATTCCATGACATAGCCGTTCAGACCAGAAAAGGAGATTAATTTTCACATTCGATATGAAATTTGTTGAATTGTTTTATATTTCATTTTTTGACATTCCTTAATCGACTGACAATAATTTATGTTCTTGTACTTTTATTTTACCCATATAGTACATGCTGTTAAGAAGTCAAGATCCAGACGAAATAGTTGCTCTAGAAGCTTGTGAATTTTGGTTGAATTTAGCTGAACAACCTATATGTAAAGAAGTCTTAAGTCAACATTTACCCCGTTTGGTACCTATTTTAATGCGACGAATGAAATATTCTCAGTTAGACATAATCCTTTTGAAAGGTGATGTAGAAGAAGATGAAATGATACCAGATAAAGAAGAAGACATTAAACCCAGATTTCATCGATCAAAAACTCATACACAAAAACACAACGATGACGGCAACGATGACGCTGATTCTGACGACGACGATGATGGTGATGATGATGATAGTGATGGACATGTCTCAGAATGGAATCTAAGAAAATGTTCAGCCGCAGCTCTTGATGTTCTTGCCGGTGTCTTCCGTGATGATCTTTTACCTGTAGTTCTTCCTATATTAAGGGAAACATTGTTTCATCAAAGCTGGGAAATCAAAGAGTCTGCTGTTCTTGCACTGGGGGCAATCGCTGAAGGTACTATTGAACTGGTGTAAATATTTTATCGTTCAAATATTATAATATTGCTTCTTATTTGCAGGGTGTATGACTGGTATGATACCACATCTAAGCCAACTCGTACCTTATCTCATTACGTGCCTAAGTGACAAGAAAGCGTTGGTCAGATCTATAACATGTTGGACCCTCAGTAGATATTCACATTGGGTTGTGGGTCAACCTCATGACAAATATCTTAGGCCTCTGATGACAGAAGTATGCTTAAAATGTTTCCCCCCTATAATAGAATATTAATTATAATTTATTCCACCTTATTGCACCTTACTAGCTTCTCAAACGTATCTTAGACGCCAATAAAAGAGTACAGGAAGCAGCTTGTAGCGCATTTGCTACTTTGGAGGAAGAAGCTTGCACAGAATTGGTACCTTATTTAGGGTTCATTCTGGAAACTTTGGTCTTTGCATTTAATAAATATCAGGTTTGTTATTTCTTTTCATTAAATCTATGGAGAAATTTTTATTTTAAAAATTTATTTTTCTCACTTAGCATAAAAATTTACTCATCCTTTATGATGCCATCGGTACACTTGCGGACTCAGTTGGTCATCATTTGAATAAACCCGAGTACATTAATCTACTAATGCCACCCTTGATACATAAATGGAATTCATTAAAGGATGATGATCGAGGTCTTTCTCCATTACTTGAGGTAGGTAATTTGCTTTTTGCTACCGTTTTCTAAATTCACGTAAATTAATCTATGTTCATCTTATGAATTTTTTAATGTAGTGTCTATCCAGTGTTGCGACAGCTTTACAGAATGGCTTTTTGCCATATTGTGAACCAGTTTTCAAGCGATGTCTATCCCTTGTAGAACAAACTCTTAATCAAGCCATAGTAAGTTTCAAAAAATTCCATTTATTTTTTCATGTGAGTAATTCTTTATTTTATCTTCATCTTATCCATTACAGGCTAATGTATCTCATCCTGATCATTTCGACCCACCAAACAAGGATTTCATGATAGTTGCGCTTGATCTATTGAGTGGTCTGGCTGAAGGTTTAAATGGTGCTGCAGAGTTTGGTCAGTTGATTGCTTGTAGTAATGTAATGATTCTTCTACACCAATGTATGCAAGTAAGTTCAAATAACATTCATCTTCTCGTTTACGTTCAATTACCAACACTTCTAATGGTTGTATTTTTTATCTTAAGGATCCTTTACCTGATGTTAGACAAAGTTCTTTTGCTTTGTTAGGAGATCTTACAAAGGCTTGTTTCCAACATGTTAAACCTCTTACACGTAAGAAATTATCTTTATTATTTTTTGATTGAGAAACTTTGAATGATGATATCTATTGCGATGATTCAATTTATTGAACTATGAGTCTGCATGAGTATTCGTACTGTCTGACAATTTTTCCCAATCAATTAGCTTTCTCACGGCTTCATCATTTGGATTAATGTATTTCCTTTCTGTTTATCCATAGCTCAATTTTTACCTATACTCGCCCAAAACTTAAAACCTGAGTTTATTTCTGTCTGTAACAATGCTGCTTGGGCCATTGGAGAGATGGCAGTTAAGATGGGACCAGAGATGAAATCCTACACCCAAATTGTTTTACCTCAGTTGATTGCTATTATTAACCAACCTGATACACCAAAAACTCTCTTAGAAAATACAGGTTTGTATTTTTTCAATAGTTAGATATATGAGATAATTTGCCTTTATTATTTTATCCAATTGAAAGTATTTTAACCTTTCAGAGCTTTAGCCAAGAAAAAGATTCTCAAAAGAGTTACGCGAAGTTATTCAGCATTATTTACCTTATTTTGTTTCTTTTTTCTCTTTCTTTCTTCTCTTGACATTTTTTTGTCCGCCTACATCCCGTTTTCACACAATTACTTCCATGTGTTGTGAATCAATTTCATTTTAATTTATCAAATTAATTTGACTTATGCATAAACCCATCACTGCCACATCCATCCAACTAAAAAATCAAATCATAAAAAAACACCAAATTCCATACATCACATATACTTTAAAATTCATCCACACTTTCAAAAATACACAATACATGTTTAAAAATACTGAATGTTACTGAACAAAAGCCATTACAATTGGCCGTCTTGGCTTGGTATGTCCTGAAGAAGTCGCTCCTCATTTACAACAGTTTATTCGCCCCTGGTCTGTAAATTTAACTTGAATTTTACTTCTTTTTACTCTTTTTCTTTATTGCGCTTCCTCAAAATATTTATCCCTCTCTTTCATCTTTATCCTTTCCGTCTTTTTCCCTTTCATAAGTTTTTAAACAACTTCTCTCTTTTTCTATTTCAGGTGTATTTCACTTCGTCATATACGCGATAACGAGGAAAAAGATTCTGCTTTTCGTGGTGTTTGTGCCATGATAGGCGCTAATCCTGGAGGAGTTGTACAAGAATTCATGTATTTCTGTGATGCTGTAGCTTCTTGGAATAGCCCCAAACCAGACCTGAAAGCTATGTTTAACGAGGTAATTAGCGATGTTTGATTATAAGATTAAGTTAATATTTTATCAAACTGTTATTGTTAATCAATGTTTGATTTTGTTTTTTTATCATTGTGGACGACCCTTGGCCTTATCGCAAAACAAATATGATATTTAATATTAATCTCTAATCTTTCGTCTTAGATTCTCCATGGCTTCAAAAATCAAATTGGCGAAGAGAACTGGAACCGATTTGCTGAGCAATTCCCAGCAATGTTGAAGGAGAGATTAGCGACTAATTATGGAGTCTGATTTCTTTTTTTGGATAGCAATGATTCAAGTGTTAATCAATCATCAAAAGCTTGTGAAAGAAGGAAATTTGCAGCCGAATTTTCGTTTTTATCACACGCAAAATAGGCTTGAATTACCAAATATTCAGGGAATCCGAGAGCTTTCAGCTGTTGATGAAAAGAGAAGAAAAGCGAATTGTTAGTAACATAATATTTTTGTTATACATCATATTCTCAATAACATCTAATTATAATCATCAGCAATCTTTTGTTTCCCCTTTTTCTATTTATCTTTCACCCTTTCTATCTGTCTTAAGAAAGTTCCAGTCCTGTAAACAATCTGAATGCTTTTTCACGATCAACAATTCCAATATTTGTATCTTCTTCATTCCTTCATTTCACCCTTTCTCGTTTCACTCCTTTCAAAACATCTAGTTTCCCTCTTTCTCTATACCCTTTTCTTACTTTAAAATGTCTCCTTGATAAGCTTTATGCAACTATGCGATTAAGATGTCAACATTGACTGACTCAAACAAATTATTGAAAAAAAATTTTTTCCACAGCCAATCCAATTTTGTCAATCAGTTGAAATTTGTTGACCTTTATTCTCTTGTTGAAATACCAATTACTATAGCTTTATATGTAAATCATTTTTTCTGTTTTCTGTCACAAACTTGCTATGAAAATTTTTCCCTACTTCTTTCCTTTTTCTCTCTTATCATGTCTTTTCAAATCCCTTCCTTAATCCCTAAGCTCTTCAAGATGCATGTACGCACCTTTTCATTTTCAGTTCTCATATACAATACACTCAAACACTATAGCGGCAGCCTGATAAGGACCACTCATTATCCTCTCTCAAACTCCAACATGCAAGCTGAATGAAGAAAAAAATTGAATAAAAAAAACAATTCAATCAAATTCTTATCATTTCTTTCAATCCGGCTTAAATTCCTCACAGAGAGTGTCTTTTGTGTTCATTCTAAATTGTAGGTCTTTGATCAGGAATTTATGAATTCCCAGTCAGATAACGATTCTTATGATAAAAATTGGAATTAAAATTGGTTTAAGTTAAAGTCAATAAAGACCAAATAATCTATATTAAAGTAAATATTAAAAAACTAACCGGCTATTTAATATCAAGAATAAGTTACGTTCTGCAATAAAATTTTGAAGCTACTCGTTGGTGATAAAGTCCTTGAAGAATACTTAAAAGATACTCTCTGTTAATTTAGTTCAAAATCCTTAAATGAAAACTATTTTCATCTAAATATAAAATTTTTGCTATGAAATAATTTTAGGTAAGCTTGATGAAAAGATGTCAGGATGGATATGAAATGTATTTTCTGAGAGTATTTGTCAAGATTTTCTTACCCGCTCAATGGCCTCTTTATCTGCCTGAGTGATATGCGCTGTTCCGATTAAATTTTCGATCCCAGAAGGAAATCCTGATGCACCACCACCACCACCTGTTCCTCCTGTATTACTGCCACCAAGTGATGCTGGATTTGAAATTGGTCCTGTTGCTTGTCCAGCCATATCTGGTTCATTTAACATTTGAACAAAATTCTCCTGGTTTCGATTTATCAGCTCGTATAATTGAGGATTAGTTTCACGAATTTGTTGCATTAAATTATAAAGTGCTAGAGGATCTTGTTGGATTATTTGTCTCATCTGTAAAAACATTGGTTGGCTACGAAGAAAAGCCAGAGGATTACTAGGATCCGCAGAAACTATTCGACCACCTGTGGTAGGAGTTGTGGATCCACCAGTTTCACCCTCACTAACTGGAGGAGCGGTTTCATCGGCAACAGCATCCAATGGTAGCCCATTTATAAGATATTCAACAGCTCTTTCTGGATTATTGAAGCTGGCTCTCAATGCTTTCTCCACTTGGTTACGATCATAACCCATTTCCATGATGTTTTTGACCATATCTTCAAATTGATCTCCTAAAACTAGATTTGATTCAGCAGAAGGAGTTGTTGCTGTTTCCTCTTTGCCACTACTTTCTTTCTTGGCTGAAGCTTTACTTGTTTCTATTGACGAGCCGGTTGTGGTAGCTGTTGACGCACTGCTCGAGCCAGTGGCACCAGTAGTTGGAGTACTGATGGGTTTGCTTGGAGCACTTGGACTGGCACTTGATGTTTGCTCTGTTTTAGGTTGTAGAACCATAACAACGACATATTTAGCTTCTTCAATATTGCATTCACTTATTTTATTCTCGTCGCTCAAAATTTTCCCTGGTGCGAAAGAAAGAAAAGTAAAGAATGTGAAAATTATTGAAACAAATATTACACAGGATATACGCAAAGAGCCGGCTACATGACATCAGAAGTACGATCAATTACTTCAATCAACTACAAGAGCTATGCAAAACACTTGGTTGGGAATGGCATGGTTTCACTACTAACCTGCATAAATCAACTTCTGGTTTGCAACTGCAAAGGTTGGGCCTTTCGTTTCTTCTATTTTCTTTTTCAAATCGCTAACCTATAAATTAAAAGATGATTTTAAATAATTGAAATAAAATATTATGATCAAATAAGTGAATAAAATAGAATATAAATACCTTCTCTTCGGGGTCGATTTCAATTTTGAATGTTTGCTGGTTCAATGTCCTTACAGTAACCAACATCTTGAAGCATGTAAATTTTAAATATGGCTACAAATGAATAATGAAGAACAGGATGACATTTTAAGTTAATGTACAAAATTGATCAAACGAATATTATTAAGTCAGATAATCAATGGATAGAGATATCAAATAAAACAAAAATGGTGGTAACAATTGATAATCGAGAGCCATAGATTGAGTCAATGAGTAACGCATTTACTCCTTCAACTCTAAAACACTGATACACTTTAAATGATTAACAAGTCACAGTGAATAAAGTGGGTATAAATAACATGAATAGACTTACCTAAAGAAAAAGTGTTATTACAAAAATTAACTATAAATACGTTAAACAAGTCACAATTTAGTCTAAAGATACAATAATCATCAATGGTGAGACAATTTTGAATTTCTTTTCAGCAAAATTTCAGCGGATCAGATTTTTTAAAAAAAAGTGAAAGTACATAGATGGCGACTCCGGACGATCAACTAAATATTTTTCTTTTTAGTGGGCTTTTCAAATTTTTCATTCAATTCATTTCCATTAGGATAAACTAATTACCATTTTTTAAGATAAGTGATAATGATTCAACAGATCATAATCAAAAATTAACTTTAAAGTTAAATTGAAATATATTATTCTCATAAAATCCATAACGATTAGCTGAATCTTATCTAATTTCATGACTTTGCGATTGTTTTCGATTACAATGTATTTTTAGTTCAACTTTCAGATTGTCACACGTTGATTTTAAAACCTGTTTAGATAAATTTTGATTGTAATGTTGCCCTGTGACCTCAAGTCGATGGAAATATTTCAACAATAATCAATAATAGTAGTTATATTCAATGAAGGTTCATTTGACCAACAAGAGATCGTTTTCTAAACCTGAAATTAATTTACACTCAATGAGTTAGTTAATAAATTATTATCTTAAAAGGAATATCACATCATTCGAATGAATGGTGAAATAACCGGATAAGATATTCTTAAATTACACCATATCTGTATTTGAGACTCAGATTGAGTAACTCAATCTATATTTCAAATCACCTGTTAGAGTAATTTATGTGTATCTGTAATGTCGCATGTGCTTGATAACAGATTATGTCTTACTGGTGGCTGATTGAAGTTCAATCATGATTACTCTCTAGTGACTTCTAACGACTTAATGACTTCTAATGACTTTAATATTTGAAACCATGTAACATATTCGAGTTATATCTCATTTGTGTTTATCACAATTTGAAATTTTGCGTTTTTTTCATTTGTTTTAGTCTCTCATTTAATCATTTCTGATGGCTGATCCTGTAGAGTTTATTCTTGGTGGATTGGCAGCTGCTGGAGCTGGTTTCTTCTCAAATCCATTGGAGGTTGTTAAAACTCGAATACAATTACAAGGAGAGTTACGAAGTCGTGGACAGTATACTGTTCATTATAGAAATGTGTTCCATGCTTTCCGAGTGATTGGTAAAACTGAAGGCTTACTATCACTACAAAAAGGATTGGTTCCAGCCATTTATTACCAATTTTCCATGAATGGTGTTCGTCTTGGCGTTTTCCAATGCATTGACAACTCTGGAGTTACCCGCAATCAACAAGGTAAACCGATATTTGGTTATACTGTCCTAGCTGGTGCTATTTCTGGTGCAATCGGGGCAGCTGTTGGTTCACCCTTTTATCTGATAAAAACTCACCTTCAAGCTCAAGCCAATTCATCTATTGCTGTTGGACACCAACATAAACATGGTTCATTTAGCGAAGCCTTCATCAAGATTTTCAAAACTCAAGGTGTCACTGGTCTTTGGAGAGGATCTCTCGCATCAATGACTAGAGTTACCGTTGGATCCTCCGCACAATTGACTACTTTTTCCAAATTTAGGTCTTTTTTTGACAATTATCCATTTTTGAAAAGTGAATCATTGGCGAATACAATTGCGGCTGCTATTTTTTCTAGCTTAGCTGTTGTTACGATGATGACACCTTTCGATGTTGTTTCAACTCGTCTCTATAACCAGCCAGTTGACACAGTTACGAAGAAAGGTCTTAAATATAAAGGGATGTTTGACTGTGCTAGAAAAATTCTGCAAACTGAAGGCCCATTTGGTTTCTACAAAGGAGGAATCGCTTCTTATATTAGAATCGGTCCACATACGATCCTTAGTCTTCTTTTTTGGCGTGAATTTAGAAAATTGTATTTTTCTATCAACGGGGAATCGAAGGATAGCAAAACTGTGATTTCATCCTAAAAATAATTCATATATAAATATATTATTTATTTTTTATCCACATTTTAAATGTATTATTTAAATAGCAAATTGTCAAAAATATTATTATGCAAAGCAATAGTTTTTAGCAAAAATTTCAAATGTCGATTTCAAAAATTTTATCTAAGGCTTATTGAGAATTTGCTTCCATTAAGTGTTCAAAACTTTTATATCTTCGATAGAAATGACATTGAACAATAAAGCTCAAATTTCTCCAACCGATCTGTTACCTTTAAGATGTATCGTTCCCGCGACTAATGACCAAATGAAATAGAACCATCGTTTAAAGGACAGAACAAAATCTGATTAGAATAGAAGACATTCTTACCCATAACAATACATTCTGATTGATCCCAAGTTAGGATTCATATTTCTATAATTCATCAAATGTATACCTTTATAATTAACGTTCTTACAGTCATCGTCATCGTTCCTCGGCGTTTTTTAACATAACATTAAAAAAATTAGAAACTCAATTTCCAATACTTACTGAATCTGTTCTTGAAGAATAAGAATATCTTGAACAAAATAATTTAGATTTCTGTAAATTGCAATTACTTTGACTGATTAAAAAACATTTGCTCGTAAAATAATATCCTTTTGTTTTATTTCGAGAGAATCGCAATTGCTGGTACCTCTGTTGTTATTAACTAAATATTATTGCTTATTAATAATTGTATTTAAAATCTAGTCTTTTTTTGCAGGTTATGAAAGTTTTTCACTTAATCAAAAATTCTATCAAAATTTTTCAGTCATTTTTGCAAATTTTGAAAGTGCTTTATTTTGTATAAGCCACTTTTATGGTCGTGACTCAAACAGTTGAGCTCGGTGTTTCCCTTGAACAGGAACTAAATTTGAATACAATTTACTCAAAAATTTCTGAAGTAAAATCAAGTCTGAAATAACTTTTTTAACTCGTGATACTGGACAAAATACAAAAATCAATAAATAAATTGAAAAGCGCTAATTTTACAATCTTGTGTCGTTAAAACGGTAACAATCTGTTAGTAATATAAATGATACCATCGACCGAGTTTACTTATTCGAGTGCATTCGCAATTTACTTCATGCGTTTTCACTCTCATTAACTTAGATTTGTACTTTCCGTCTCCATTTCTCATTAGTTAATGATTAGCCACTCATTACCATTGATTGACACTCTACCGTTTCAGATTCTTCATCAAACATCACTATCAATATTTCAGGCAAATCACGAGCCTATTAGCACTACATGGAGAGAGAACATTATTTAAACCTTTCTCAGAGCAATAAAATCGAGAAATCTGAAATATAAAATATTGTCTTATGAACGTGTATGTTAAATGGCTAGAGAGTGAAAATTGTGTAAGCAAGATTAGCTTTTACATTTGTGTTTTACTCTACTCTTGATCTATTCTTGGAGTAACCTTCTTTATGTGCTTTTTTTAGTTTTAACACAAGTAATAACTTTCAATTTAATCTTCCTTTTCTTTTTTTCCTTCGTCTTCATCCATTCAAAATCCGTTCTCTTCTTCCTCTGCTTTCTTTCTGCATTTTCCTCTTTCTACTTTTCTCTCTTTCTCCCTCTGCATTTTAGAAACCGTACATGTTACATACAAAACACATGGATTGTATTTGTTATTGTCATCCATTCATTTTTAACGTTGTATTTACAGTTTGATTATAATTATATAATAATTTACTAATCACATGATTATTGCCTAATTATTTAAATTCACCAATTATTTACTTATCATGGAAGAAGGACAGGTTAATTCTGCTGTTAAAAAGCCTTCAGATTTGCATTCAGACTTGGAAGCACAAAAATTGGTGAGTAAATGTTGCTTTACTTTTGTTACATGTTTGCATGCTATTAGTTAGCCATTGACTTGTGATTAATGGCTCATTAATTGTATCCTCAATGATGATGTTAACTGACTTCACTTTAATTTTAAGATTATAGCCATCTTTATTATTTTTTGGGACTAGACAATATTATAGCATCAGTGCTTTTATTTTAGGACTTGACTTGCCATCATATCTTCTTTTACTTTTTTTGGTATCTAAATTATATTAATCTATCTTTTTCCTTTTTTATATAGATTCTTTCTAAATTGGAGGATGAATGTAAGAAAAATTTCCTTGATGACAAGTCTCTCAATGAGACCCTCGGACAATACAAAAAAGCAGCTCATGAGTTAAAGAATTCAATAAACCATTTCCTGGATTCTAAGAGTGTAAATGCTAAATCTGTTGATGGTGTGAATAGGCCAATAGATGAAGAGCTTAAAGAAAAAATTGACATGTTAGAGGCTACGCTAAAATCGTCCGGAATCATTAAGGATGGACACAACGCTACCAATGGATCAACTAGTCAAGCTGCTGCAACTGGTACTGATCAGGTTGCTGGGCAAAATAGTGATGACCAAACCAAAACATCTCTTCGGCAATCGCCACCAGTATGCCCAAAGAATGATTCTCAACCTCAGAATCAACAAACACAGAATCAACCACAGCCATTAACTCAAGTGATGCCTCAGTCCCAACTGTCTGATAAGAAAACATCAAAGAGTAAAAAAGAATCCAATAAAAAGACTGCTAAAAGTGAACCCGAGCCTAAGATCGGTCCTATTCAACCTGAGTCAAAACCAGAACTTGATAAAAATAATGTTACTGCTGATAACCCAACGAATAAAGAAACTAAAGGTAATTTCAAAATCTCGGCAAATATATTCTTTCGAAAGCTAACTCATGTGTGATTTGATTTTTCTCCCCTTTCTTTTGATTCTAGATTCAGAAAGCCTGTCACCTGAAAGGAAGCCTAAAACTACCTTAAATAAGAAGTCTGCCCACAGAGAGAAGAGCACTATCGACCATATTTTGAAAAATCTCAACGGTGAAAATAGCGAACAGAACCAACTCAAGCTGCTCTGTAAAATGTACATCGATCTGATACAAGAGAATCGAGTTCTAGATAAGGGTAAACAATATTTTTACTATTAATGAGCTATCTTTTGACAGTTTATTTTTTATTTTCAGGTATGAAACAACATGTGAAAACCTGTGCTAGACTGAATAAAGAGAAGGAACAACTTCAATCAGAGAATAATCGCTTGATTTTGGCCAAAAGCAGACTTGAAAGTTTATGTCGAGAACTGCAAAAGCATAACAAGGCAATAAAAGAAGAGAGTTTACTGCGAGTTAAAGAAGATGAGGATAAACATCGTACCATGGCTGCCAAGTTTCAAGCAACTTTAAGTGAAATAATGATTCTTGTTCAAGAAAGTCACCAGCGAAATAATACATTGAGAGAAGAAAATATGCAATACGAGAAAAAGTTACGGATCTATTTGGAACATTATGATAAATGGGAGAAAGAGATCGAAAAAATTTTAGCTTCAAAGGATTTAGAAATTCAATTGACCAAGACTAAATTAGCTGAAGCCAATTTAACATCTGATCATGAGAGAGAGAAATTTATTGAAGAGAAACAGCAAATTTTGAATATGGTTTCCGATCTGCATAAAAAACACAGCGAATCAGTGACCAATGAAAATCATCTCAAGGCTCAACTCTCTCTTTATATCTCAAAATATGATGAATTTCAAGCAATATTAGCAAAAAGTAATGAAATGTTCAATGGATTCAAAAAAGACATGGAAAAAATGTCCAAACAAATCAAAGACTTAGAGAGAGAAACAATACGATGGAAAAAGAAATGTGAAGAATCTGACAAAGCATTGGCAATAGCAAATGAAGCGGTAAAATATTTTTTTATTCAATTTAAATTCATAGTCTAATGTTATTTCAATTTATTCTCGTCTTTTTAATTAGCGTAAAACCTCGAATCAAAAGATACAAAAGCTGGAAAACTTGTGCAGAGCTTTGCAGGCAGAGCGGAATCAATTATCAGAACGCCTTGCAAAATTTCAATCCACGGAGAAATCAGAGAACAAGAAACGCTCGGAAAAAATTGAATCAACAGAAATCAGTGATAAGCCCCTGGATAACATTGAAAATGTCAATCAATCACCAATTTGTGATAATGAATCTACAATCATCAGTGAATCAGAGTCTTCTCAATCATAGAGACGTTCAATCTTCTCAATCCATTTTTACCAGAAGACAGAAGAGACTCAAACATTTCTTAGCGCCTATTATAACTCTAGCCATTAAAGAAAGGTGAAAACAAAAATGGACGTTGGAAGGCTTCGTTTTTGATTATCATTTTTCTTGTACTTAATCGATTTTAACAACACTGATTGAAGAGCCTCGAAAAGCAAGGCTTATAGTCAAACTTTGTCAATTTGACAGATCCCCAAAAAATTAGCATCGGAAACAGCCATTAGCCTTTAAATAAATGAAATCAATTAAAAAAATGAATCTCTGTGTTTCCTTGCATTTTACTTTAAAATTGAAATAAACTTTACTAAACAATTTATGACTTTAAAACCAAATAATGTTGCGATATTTTACTAATGAAAATATGATAAGGGATTTTGCTTCTCTTTCGCGTACATATTAAAGATCGTATTCTTATTACACATTTTAAACTTTCGAGTATTGTCCTCTAGTTATTGAGAATCTAAATTGATAGATAGACAAACCAAACAGATCAGAAGTTATAATAGCATGACCAAAACGCAGGAAACAATGTAGCATCTGCTTGTTATAAATGAAATATATGAAAAATTGATCTGACTGATTCCAACCAGACCTGAATGCATAAGTAGATAGTGTGCAAGTAAAGTGTTCAACTAAAAATGAAGGGTTGTTACTGAAAAAACAATACACTTAAGCACAAATTGACGGAAACGGGTGAAAATTAATTTCTTTGAAATTACGAGAGAAGGAAAAAAAGCAAAAGGAAGTTATCTTGTCAACCCATTCTGAATCTCTGTTCACACGAAACTTCTGAAAGGACCGTGGAAAAGTATTAACACTTTGACTTTAGAGTTAAGAGTCAGACACTTTTTTCGATCAATCAATAGTTCTCTTGATTTAGACCATTAACTTTGAGCCTAGATATTTCGAGAATGGTAGACCTACATTGATCATTCCTTGGCTAATCATTAGATGCTACTATGGGCTATAACATAATATGACTATGACAATAATAGTCTAATTTATTAACATTTACAATATAATATCAATCAGTTTGTTACTGAAAAGACACAATAAACACAATTGTAACATTTGTTATGAACAAATTGACACAAATGGTAAGAAACGGGTAAAAATTGATTTCTTTCAAATTATTACGCTTTGGGTTTGTAGGGACATAAAAGCTGTGTCCATTTGGGCGATTTAAAAGTTTCTCTGATCAATAGTTTTCGAGGAAATCGAGTTCAAAGTTTAAACTTCGATAGCCTTTTGTACAATTAGGGATATAGATTTTTTCATGAAACTCATTTTGATGATGTAAATTTTGAGGGTCAACCTGAAAATGTACTTTATACCATGAAATAAAATTTTGTGATTCTGTAAAATGAACTAGTTTGATTTTCAGTTAAACCGACGTCATTCTATGACCCTAACAATTAGAGAGCTGAAACATATTATTTGACCCTAAAAATTGTTGTTTAACATCATGCATCAAATACTTTTATCAATTTAATAACAGTTCTCTTGATTTTGGCCATTAGCATTGAAACTTCGAGCCTCGATATTTCGAGAATAGTAGAACCTACAGTCATCTTCTTGCACCAATTTGATCATTGTGCTTATCAATAATAAAATTCAGTTTAATAACTCTTCATTAGCGTATTCAGGTCATGATTTTTGGATTGTAAATGATCGAGCAACAACTTATTCAACAACATAAACTCATCTTAACCCATATCTTGGTAAATCAACCACTTTTCTGGTTGCAATTGCAAATAATATTCAAAAAGTACTGCAAAAGATGCGAACATTTGAGTAAAGAATCTAAACTCGGTGGGTTTGCAAGGACATAAAAACTGAGTCCATTAGTACTATTAGCTAATTCCTCCGATTGATTGTTTTCTAGAAAATCGAAGTCAAAGTTGAAACTTTTATGACCTTTTGTACAATTATCGAAGAAGATTTTTGCATGAAACTTATTTCGTTGGTTTATTTTTTGGTGATCAACCAGAAAATGATCTTATTTAGAGAAATAACATTTTCTGTTTTAGTAAAAAAGATCAAATTCGATTTCTAGTTAAACCGACTTTTTTCTGTGATCGTAAAATTTAGACATCTGAAACTTATTATGCGTATGTAAATATTGTTGGTGAACTCCAATGATCAGATACATCTTTCAATTTATGGAAAGTTATCTTAATTTTTGACATTGAACTAAAAACTTCGAGCCTCGATATTTCGAGAATGGCATCATCTACAATCGTCATTCCTTGACCAACCGTTAGATTTTGTTATGGACTGTAATCATCGAAATATCAAATCATTCAACATCCTACAAGAAAGAAGTTTAAGCATTGTATTTCTTATGTTGTAAGATTTGAAACTTGATTTATAAAGTTGAATGGGTACCAAACACAAATCGTATGCGTTAGAATGATATTGCTTCTCAGATAAATTAGCTCAGATTTAATTTGGTATCAAGTCATATGCTGTTATAGTTCATAACAAAATCTAATGTTTGGTCAAGAAATGACTATTGTAGGGAATGCCATTCTCGAAATATCGAGGTTCAAAGTTTTTAGTTCAATGGCAAAAATTAAGAGAACTTTCGATAAATTGAAAGATGTATTCGGTCAATGGTGTTCACCAACCATAATTGTACACGCATAACAAGTTTCAGATGTCTAAAATTTATGGTCACAGAAAAAAGTCGTTTTAACTAAAAATCGAACTCGATCTGTTTTACAAAACCAGAAAATGTTATTTCTCTGAATAAGATCATTTTATGGTTAGACATCAAAAGATACATTATTAAAATAAGTTTCATACAAAAATCTGCTTCCATAGCTGAAGAAAAGGCGATCGAAGTTTCAAGTTTGACCTCGATTTTCTAGAAAACTGTCCATCGGATGAATTATTTAATAGCAACAATGGATTCAGTTTTTATTGCTTATAAACCCAATATGAGTCTCAGTTCTTAATCAAAATTTTCGAGCCTTTGGCAGTAACTTTTGCGTTTCATTTGCAAGCTTAACCAGAAAAGTGGTTTATTTATTAAAATATGAGTTAAGATGAGTTTGTTTTGTTGAATAAGTTGTTTCTCGATCATTTACAACCCAAAAATCACGACCCGAATGCAAAAATGGAAAGTTATTAAATTGATTTGAATTACTAATAAGTAAGTAATTAGCTTGGTAAAAGAAAAGTGATCGTAAGTGATGCCACTCTCGATATATTTAGGCTCAAAGTTTTAAGATCAATGGCCAAAATCGAGAGAACTGATGAAAGATTGAAAAAGGTATTTAATCCATGATGTGTACCAACAAATTTCAACGACAAATGCAAAGTTTCAGCTCTCAAACTCTTATGGTCACAGAATGCGGTCGGTTTAACTTAAAATCGAACTAATCTGTTTTACAGAAAACAGAAAACTTTTATTTCTCAAAATAAATATATTTCTTGGTTGACATCAAAAGATACATCAGGCAAATCAGTTTAAGCTTTTAAAGTCACAACTTCGAACTCAATTTTCTCGAAAACTGCTCATCAGAGAAATCTTTGAATTGCATAAATGGACTCATATTCATGACCTTACATATTCCAGAGTCTAAATCCGAAAGGAATAAAATTTTTACTCAAAGAAATAAATTTTTACCCATTTTTGCTCCATTTGTGTTAATTTTGCTAACAACCAAAATGAAGTGCAAATGAACGAAATTGGATGTTTACCAAAGCTTTCAAATCTCAATTTTAAATTTTATTCAAGACTGATTATGAGTTTAAAATGAATTCATTTTGGAAGCGCAGATGCATTAATTATGTTGGCAATATATAATAACAATAAAAGTTTTCTAGAATTACAATTTATACAGTAAAATACTCAATACATTTGTCAACCTTTTGTTTTAAATTCAATTCTTTTGGTTTAGAATGTTGATTAAAAAGTTTCAATTGATCAAGTTGATTAACAGAAGCAAACTTAGCATAAAAATGACTCTTTTATCCTTGGTCGGCAATTGTCAACTCAACAAAAGTGCACATTGGTATTGAGTTTAAAACAGATTAAGTAGTTTACTGCAAATGCAAAGGTGAAGTTATTTATGGATTTAAATTTACAATGGATTTATGAAAATTGTGTTTAATTAGAAAATTAAGGTGATTAAATTGTCGGACAAAGTTCCACCGTAGCTCCTGAGTTTTCACAATCTACAAAAGTATCAGTCCGAAGACTATTTGCTTGGCTCATCGGTCTTGAAATTTCAATATCCTTGATACATCCAATATAAGGTGGCGGCAGGTCAGGGAAGATACGTCGGTAATTGTCTGGAACATCACCCAAGTAGAGTGGAGTCAAAGTATCGGCTACATTAACACCACCCGGAGTAAAAACAGCAACATTACTTTCATCATCGACGGTAACGAAATGAGCATTTTGTAGTTTAGTAATTTTAATTGTATGCCAATCGCCATTACAGATGGACGCGTAATCGCCTCGCATTTTAATCTCAGAGTCTTTAGCCCCTTCACCATTATCAACAGTTACTATAATTACTCCATCGACTAGTTTAGCAATTAGATAATCAGTTATGCGGTTCTTTTCATCGGGCTGGCCGAATGAAGCTAAGAGAAGTGAGCTAACATTCCTTGGTTTTACCATGAAACTTATGACAACATTGCTTCCAACCTTGAATCTATCATAACAAGAAAGATAACTATTTTGACCAGTGAAAAAGGTTCCTCTTTCAAGTTTGTCTGAGCAAGTCGGGGTGTTGATGAATTTGTGGCCATTTGAAGCTTCACTGTCTTCCAAGTTGAATTTGGTTTTACCAATGACAACATTGCGGATGCAACCAGGGAAGGAACTGGTTACATTTTGTAGTAAAACTCGGATTCGATCGGCAGCATTTGGAGGCAAGCCACCAATGTAAGCTGGAGAGATTATGTTTAGGTTTTGTGAGCTTCCAGGTGAAGTGCCAGTGACAAACTGGCCGTTTTCGTGGGCCAATTTACCTTGTTTCATTTTAACACCAAAAGTAACTTTATGCCATTTACCATCATCCATGTTCCAGTCAAGAGCACCACCTCGTATAGTTGCCAAGCCACTTCCAGCATTCCAGGCAAAGTGAAGTTTACCTTGTTTCATGTAGAGTACAAATAGATCGACATATTGAGCATCAGCGAGGAAGAATAAAATTCCACTCAGTGGTTCGGCAGAGTTGAAACTGAGGGCTGGAGTTGATCGGAACTCAAGGGTTACAGTTGATTCAGTGACGAAAGAACCAATTATATCAGAGCCAATTTTGAGTTCAACTCTAGAGTAATATGAAGTACCAAAGCGACGGCCATCTGAAGCTACAGTCATGGATGTGTCGATGCTCTTAAAAGGTAAAGCACAGACTGAAGGTGTTTCAGGAGTTATGGGTGTTAGTGCAGTTGTTGTGGTTGGTGCATCAGTGACGACCGGCATAACTATTTCTCGTGGTTTACCGTCACTTATCACTTTACATGTAACTAAAGTGGCTCCTGTTACTTTGGATGCTTTCCTGAGATCTTGGAATTTATCATGAACAACAGCATCGCCCAAGCAGCCAATAAATTTATCAGCAATTCCATTGGACGTAAGAGTCGAGATAAAGTTTTCTGGCGCTCCACCAAGATAGAAAGTTCCTGATGGTATATTCAAGTTAACGGGTTCAATTAGATCAAAGTTAATTTCAGTTCTATCATCAATGTCCATTCGAAGTTGATAAGCATTCTTTGTTGCCATTACATAATGCCATTCATTGTCATCATAACGAAGTCCTGATGATTTGATTGTTCGACCTGGATGAGCTGTTAATGCCAGGGTGCCATCAGAAATGTAGATGGCAAGGAATGAATCTTCTGGTTTGTCAGGATTGGCAGCAAAGAATAGTAAACCATTTGAAACATTGGTCCTGAATTTGAAAGATATTTGAACACTTTCAACAATTTCAATGCTCAATGGCATTGCGATGTAACCCGGTGAGTTTGGTTCAAAGACAGCTTCTCTAACACCTGAATCAAGACAGCCAACCGTTACTCCCGGCATCATGGTAGAGTTACCAAGCTCAATCAACTTGGCTTCAATAGAAAGCTCATTGAAGCAACCTTCATACGGAATATCAGTGACTTCAGGAAGGTTATGTTTATCAGGATGTCCACCAATATAAAGAGTTGGGTCAAGCTCAAAGGTTGCCTGTGAACCGCTCGTTTCGGCAGACATAATCTCTCCACCAGAAACACCCAAAGTTATATCTTTGAATTTACGAGAAAAGGAAATTGTATGTTCCAAGCCGTCATTAACTTTATCAGTGTGCGTGATGGACACATAACCACTTCCCAAATCAATAATAGCTTTGGGTTTACCATCATCTAGTTGGATAGCGAGGTAATCACTTTGTCCAGAAAGTAACATTATTAAACCAGAGCGAGCATAAGTTTTAATCGTCAAAACAATGTTGGTGATTTGCGACAACTTTTCAGTTTCGATTTGGGTTGAAGCCCATCCTCTGCCATTGAAATGGACGCCTTTCACTTGGGGTTGATTGGGTAAGGAATCACCGCTGATGAAGTATGCCCTTTGGAAGTTAAGCAAACCTAATGGCATATCACCTAAGGTAATATAAGCCAGGGAACCATTGAAACCGTTTACTTTAATTGTATCGGGAACAACATAATTATTTGGAATCAAACCAATAAATATTCTTGATCGTTCATTGTTCAAATCAAGTACTGAAGAGAAGCCGTCAATGTGACCATGAGTGACAATCTCTTTTTCGTCCTTGTTTACGGTAATCTTCAATGTTTTCCCGATTCTTTCAACAATCAAGTTAACCCAATGTCCATCGTTTACTTTGGCCTCAGTTTCTAAGGATTGCGGTCCACTTCCCAAATCTAAAACAACTCTAACCTTTCCATCACTGAGCATAAGAGCCATGTAATCATCTGTAGTCTCACGAATTTGAGTTGTTTGACGAGCTTGGCGACTGTCAGTTCGTCTAGCATTACCAACAAAAGCAAGGAGTCCATCAGGATAAATGGAGGCAAAGTTGAGCGATAATTTGTTGTAACTTCCTGAAGAATCTAAATTTTCAGGCTTTCTTAATTCACCAAATGATCCAATTCCCAATCTCATTGCTACATCAATTCGATTTGCCATGTCTCGAGCTTTAACCACCGAATCTTTCAATTTCTTTAATTCATTTTTTGATGAATTAAGTGAATTAACCATTTTAGTAACTCTTTCCATTGCATCACGAATCTTTTGTCCAATCCCTCTTTCTCCGTACAATGAAGTCATTGATGTACTTTCATGGATATCAATGAAAGCTTTCCTCTCAGCTTCTGTTAATTGTTTAGTTGCATTTGACAAGGAATTTATTTCATCAATCAGTTTATCAACTCGTTCGGAAACCTTGTTTGCCTGAAAGATACTTGCTTCAGCAATTTCCATCACTTCGCGACTCGAATCGGGTGTAGTTGAGATCTCAATTGACGCTAAATCTTCATCAATTTTCTTCAATTGTTCACCTTGTGATCCGCTCTCAATACCTCTCGAACGGATAGTCTCATTGAATTGGCTCAATCTGGTTGCTCCGTTATTTAAAATATTAGCTCTGAGAGCACTTGCTTCGGTTCGATTTCCAGTACTGGCTGATCGAGTTGCAGATATTTTATCTCGTATTCCTTCCCATGGTTTCTCGGCCGTGCGACTAATAACATTGTTCATTGATTTCTCGGCAGATTCAATCGAGTTTTCAATAACTTCATAAGCAGTAGCAGCTCTCATTGTTCGGTTGAGATCACCTTGTCTAATGGCCTCCATGAAAATGAAATCAAGATCGGTGGCAGTACGATTCAAACTGGATGCATGTTGACCTGCTTTCTTCACGATCTCAAGTAGTTCTGTTTCTTGAACATCTTCAGGGTTGAGCTTTTCAAGAGAATCTTTTTTCCCATTAATACGATTAGAAATTTCTACTAAAGAATCAAAGGAACCAGAAGCTTCTTTCATGATGGGTTCAGATGAATCAATTCTAGTTTTGGCTTCTTTCAAGTTTGCAGATATTGCCGAGTCTAGATTTTTCAATGAGCTACTTCGAGGAACAATAGCTTCTTTAACAGCTTCCCGACTTCGATTCAACCCTCGTTGTACATCCAAAGCAATAGTCATTGCAGAAACTATCTTTTCATTAGCATCAGTTAAAATGGTTTCAAGTTGATCCAATCGTGATTCAGATTCATTCAAAGTGGCCTTTTCATTAACATAAGGAGCAATGTAATCTTCAACTCTGTCCAAAACAACCATTGTTGACTCTGTTTCATTAGCAACTGTTTTCAGAGCATTTGTAAAGGCACCAAACCTTTCGACTGCGTTTTTGTTTTCTTCTGCTTTAGTTATCATAAACTTAATGCTTTCTTCATCAGCTTGAGTGTTATATTTATAGTCGACGTTATCCAATTGTTCAAACAATAGCTGAACATCTGACTTGACCTTTTTGATTAGGCGTCGAATCAGTGTTGCATTTTCTTTGGTTTCATCCACTTTGATGACAACTCCAGCAGCTAGACGAGAAAGACGATCTTGCCATGCTGGTAAATTGTCGGATGCGTTTGTTATTTTAGTCATTTCGGTTTCAAGAGGAGTCAGGTCAATTGTTTTAGATCCTTCGATAATTTGTGCCAACTGTTTGTTAAATTCAGTGACTGTGTTATTCAAAGTGAGGAACGCTTTCTTTGCGTGAATACCGGATGAAGAGTTGCTAAATTCATTGACGATTGGCATAATGTCATTTTCCAATGCATCGGTGTCGTTAAGAAGAGCGTGTTGACATTCACCACACTCGAGGCAACCTTCACGATCGACAAATACCCAACGCCAGGACATTTGTCACACTTTTCACCAACAACTCCGGGTAAACATTCGCATTTTCCAGTTTGTTGGTTACAAACACTCTCTGAATATTTTTCACACACCGCAGATCACACTGATTTGCTATATTTCAGTACGACTCACAAACATCACAAACA